TTATTCATTTTTCGAAATACTCTCTGTGAAATTTTCTGTCAAAATTCACGAATGTGCGAAAATTCAATTAAATGTGCACAGCAGATATTTATTGGATAGCAATGAGCAGTCAAGCAAGAAGATTGTGAGACGTAACGAACAATTATTTTCGAGCCATTTTCGTTACAAGAAAAGTTTTCATCATTATTATTGAAATAATAAACTAATAACATCGCAGTCTCATTATTCCCTTCATTATTCTTATTTTTCCATTACCGTATCACCAAATCTAATCCGTTCAAGTGTCAATAATGCTGAAAACATAAAGAATCCGATGATTGAATTCGTTATTTTGCACGAATGGATTCGCTCTTCTTATTTACTCAAGGTACAACTGCTCTCATGATCAAAACTTCAACAGTTTTTCGTTTGAATATAATGATAATTCGATGTTCACATTAATAGGCAAATGCATAATTCCTTCGTTGCATCGCCTTCATGAAGCATCTTCAATGCAATAAACGAAAAAAAAAGGATCGAGAGTGTAATTCATTTGAAATTTTAATCGAGTTAAATCAAAAATTACATTATTCGTTTGATTTAATTAAATGTATTTGCTGAAATCGTCATGCCGTTTGTTTTATTTCCGTCGAATTGGTCATGCCTATTAGAGACTTTCATTTAGCAGTTTGCTTTTTACGAAAATTCAGTTAATCATTATCTAGCTACCAAATGCATTCATTTTTGATGCGAGAAAGAGCTCAAATACTCTAATATGATCGGTGTAAAACGTCTAATGTCATGGTATCATGTGTCAGTATTGCTCAATTCTTGTTAACAATAACATCGGTTTGAATTCATCTTGTTTTTATTCGATCAGTCATTTTGACAGAAACCGACAAATCACGTTACGATCGACTTGATGAAATTATCTACCGAAAAATTCCTGAATAATTTCACTCCTCGTCACTTCCACAATTTATTCTGACTCAAGCACGCATTTAGTGCTATTTTAAATCACCGCAAAATCACATATGTTTTCGTGTATGGACCGCATTCGTTTTAATATCTTATTATTTTGACTGCACTCGAGCGAACAAAATGAAACATAACGTTCATTCAATCATTTCATTAAAATTCCTCGTTCAATTCGGACAATATATAATTTTGCATTGATCTTCCTTTGGCACTGATCAAATTGCTTTGATCGTTCACATCAATTTGATTTCATTCTGTTGGAAGATGCAATAATTCTACTTAGAAATTCACCTAGTCTTCGTTTTCTTCTATTGATTCTAGGTAGATATAAGGTTTATTAAAGTATCATTTTCTTCAAATAATGTTACAATACATTCAACAATTCCATAGAGATGAAAACTTTTTTTGTGCCCTTTTGATGACATCCTTACCCTTATAATAAATTCTATCATGTTCATTCCCATAACCTGAATTTCACCCAAATTTTCTCTTCCATATGACTGCGGTTGACCATCCGAAGAAGTCGTGATCAAGATTTTTCCATTTGACATAAATTTTCAACTTCCTTGACGAAAAAAATATCCGAAAATCATCACGAAAATTTGGATGTTTTCAGTAAAATTGACAATAATTCAAAACGATTTTCAAAGTTGTTCAAGAAAATAGCATTCTTTCAGTGCTTCGAACAGTGAATTTATGAAAAGTGCTGGACGAATATCATTCGAATTTGTTTTTGCGGATTCATTTGAACACGACAATGCTGATCGTTCGAAAAAACCATCGGTCTCTATGTTCGCGACGCTCTCAGCGAGTGTCTATGCGTGAATTGTCATTACTACAAAATGAAATGAAGGTCGTTCCTTCAAACTATGAGAAAAATGGACATTTGAATATTTCAAACGATATTATATACATGCTCTGTCACATATGTCATCAATAATCAAACATCATCACATGCATTAATGATGACAGTCTATAACTGTCAGTCTCAGTACACAAATCATTAATCTTCGCTCATCACTCATTTTAACGCACCACAAGTAGATTCCTTACAATGCTTTTTTTTCTCAACTTTACAAGAATTTCCGCTGAAGATATTTTTCACAGCATTCTGACATTCACTCACAATCATCTTTCAATATATGCGTTCACATAAGAAGAAAGAAGTGTTTGGTATGATGGAACTAAAATCATTATTTTTGGGATAGTTTCCTGTTTCGTCAGAATCGAATTGAATTTGTGCGTTAGATAAGATTCTGCAGTCGAATTTGGATAAGATTCTGCAAGCGATCATTCGTTATCTCAAATGAATCGCACTCATTCACTTCTTCCTGACAATGAGGAGGATTGTTGCTTACTTATGAAGAGCCTCCTGACAATGAGGAGGATTGTTGCTTACTTATGAAGAGCCTATTGGACTTCAAGTGAACTGTTGCGTAGTTGTCAATCTGGTCGAGTTATCGGACTGAACTCATCGTTTTGATCCACTGAACTGGTCTTTAACTGAATTTTCCAAGATGATTTCCTATGAAAATCTTCTAATTGTCCACAAAAACGACAAAAATCATCAACATTAGATGTCGTTCATCTCTGCTTGTTGAATTAAGCCCTGAAGGTGCTAGCTTCCTTGCGGCACTTTTTGCTGCACTCATTTCATCCCTTACTGAGCAATCTCTTTTGTTTTTGATGACTTAATAAGGCGATAATTTCATTGTTTGTCTAAGGTCTTTGACCTCAACCTTTCGATGCCTTCCAGCCATTCTCATGTTCCATAATGTCAGTTTCGTTATTATGCATGAGGAAAATGCGTTGTCCTTTATGCTCATTCATGCGCTTATTCATGGTGTATTTATTGGAAAGATTTGTGATTACCTGTATGCCGATTGGGAAGGAAGACTTTAATGGCTTATTGAATGGCTTTTGGAAGGATCAATAGAAGAAATAATGATCGTTGCCCAGTTGAATGATTTTATTGAAATGAATAAATGTGGGATGATTAGTGTTCAGACAGGCTGAAGGTCGCTTGACATCTGCGAGGTTTCATGTGCGATTTGCTGTGGCCAAGTTCTATTTGGTTGCATTCACCTTACCAATCGCTATTCCTCGCGTTTCTAGGTCTGAAAATAAAACAAAATTAACTTTGCGATGAATAGGCTTAGGAATTTCACCTCAAACCTGCTTTTCTTAATCGTGCACTTTCAAGAATGCTATCGCTTCAACAACTCCCCATCTTATGCGAAATTTTTTCGTAGACGTTTCTTTCCCACCTTAATCCAGTGTCACTTCTTTGACTTGAACGAAACTCTTGATCTACTGAATACAAATGGAATAGAACATTTTACATAGGGAAGGATTTCCATTGTGGAATCATTTGAATGTGCCTCCGGATATTAGGGAGGTTAGCAGAGCGATTTGGGTTGACCTTTTCTTTTCTGTTAGTAATCATTCCGTAGTTGTCGAATAATGTTTGTTCGGTCGTAGGTAAGTGGTTCCTTTGATACAACTGACGAATTATCGCACTATATTTCCGGATCAGTCAATTAATTCCGATTCTACAGAGGGAAATGACAGTCTCCTATATGGCAAATGAAGGCATTGATCGCAAGACTATGATGAGCACTGTAATAGATTGTTATAATTGTCATCGTTTTCAATGCACTTTTGGGAATGTTTAAGAGTAAATTAAATTTCTATATATCGAAAGAATACATGTAATCGTTTCAATTGAGCTGATTACCACCAACAAATCGACAACCTTACCTGAACACGTTAATTTCTGCTTGAACGTCGATGTTGTTTGCTGCCCGTATACTAATTCAATTATTGCAACTTGTCAGACTACTTTAATTGCCATGTCATTCTGAGCTGTGATAATCTATCAGTTTTTTGACCTATCTTCATAGCGTATCGCTGTACTGAACATCGATACCACAAAGAATTTTTCGCATTCGTGTCGTATTCAATCGAATGTGACATGAGGAACTGCCATTTTAAAGTAGTAATTTCAGAAAACAATAAGATTATGCGATGAATCAGTATTACCAACAGCCACAGCACCAGCAAGGTGGTGTTTCTGGATTTCCAGATGACACACTGACGCATCGATATCAAATGGCCACCTCACAAAACTGCTTATCATATGCCAATGACCAACAGTTGCCATCAACATCATCGTATGATCTAAATGCCACGCAAATTGCAAGCGATACTATGAGTAGCAGTAATACTATGAATACCTCGAAACCCATAATGCCGGTCGCACCGATGATGCAGTCGTCCAGTCAACAGCAACTCTCTTCGACAATTTACGCACCACCTTCCACCCCGAATTATGCTCACAACCGGTAAAAATCATCAACTTCCATTTGACATGTTCATTTATCTTAAGAGTTATTTTTCACCGAGCACGATCTACTTGCAGAGGGCACGAAAAGTCAGCCATTCCATAGCAAATCTTAATATTGTTTCGATAAATCATGAGCTGAGATATCTATCGATACGAGTAGTGATGTGCAGAATATGCGCACAGTGATTCACCGCTTCGGCTTATCATTATGATCATCACTCCGCGACGGAACCTTTCATATAGCATCATCATCACCTTCAGAGAGAGATTCCTTCATGAATGCACAGGGAAGTGTGAAGTTCCGAAGCTCATCCACATGCAGACAAACGCATCATAACATATCGTTAATACAGATAATTGTAATGATATTTCATGCAGATTACAACAGCACACACTTAAGAGCGTCGTTGTATGTATGAGCACATAATATCATGTGTTCTCACATTATACCATATGTTCTTAAGTGCTTTCATGTGCAGATTTGAGATCACATAGCTTATTAAATAAGCACGGTTCCGCAAAATTCGCGAATTATATTCGATCAGTTTTGAAAGTTCAGAAGTAGAATTGATATCTGTTGTTAAACACACTTGATCTTCAAGATCAGTGGTTAGAGGGTGGCGATAAAGATTCTGAAGAGCCCAGTAGAGTGCTATCTGACTAGGGTAGATCTATAAAGATCTTGAATTGATCAGAATCGTGGAAATTGAAAACGAATGATGATTCTAGGATGCCGAATTCTGGAGGCACGAGGTCGTTACAAGGCAGTCCAAGGATAAGCAAACAGCAGCCACAGTTTGTTGGTCAACAGATTTCATCCACGCCAAATAGTCCCATGATTAACAGGCGGAAATTTGATCGTATCAATCAGTGGAACCTAGAGCATCAACGTTTAGCTCATCTGAAGTGTGGCAGTAGTGGTGCACCGTCGACGAGGGTATTTTTTCTTTTACTTTCCCGATTTGTGAAATTGAAATTGTGTTCGATTCATTGGGTGAATACTTGAAATTTTAGTGGAAGATGCATGTTTTGGAAATGAATTTTGAAGTTTAGTTTAGTTTATGACTTCATGCAATTATTACAGCTGATGCTGTGCGATTGCGTTAAAATTTGAATTGCAGACATCGTCAGTGATATCCGCAATGTCCGGAATATCGAGGGTAAGCAACATGTCAATGATGAGTGCACTGAGCATATCGACAGAAATCAGTGATCTACCGGATATGAACCAAATGGTTTCCATTCATTGTATTGAGCATTCATTTTCATCTGTTTGCGTACCTTATATAGTAATTAGGTCCTCCTGCGGTAATTAGGCATTGGAATAGTTGTGCTTTTAATGTAGGATGTCCATGAAATGAAAATGCCTTATTCTAAATCAGTGCTGACATTTCTGTTGAGAGATTTTCATTGAAATCTTTATATGGGAAGTGTAGATAAAGAACTGATCAGCGATTAGGATGTTTTGCTTGCAGAGATCCGCACAATACTCATCGGCATCGTCGTGTGCGTCGTTCGCAGAGAACATTGATCCCACTTATTACTTGAAAGTTGAACAAGCCGTTGATGAATTGTCCGGCAAAATGCGATTGTTTGCTCAAAATACGGTAATCGTTCTCCATAATTGAACATTTCTAAACATTGAACATGTCAATTACTGCTGAACAGCTCAATTTGTTTATCTAGAGAGCACTTTCATTGTACACGTTCAGTGGATATCAGGCACTGGTTCTATCGTGCAATCGTGCGAAATGCTTGAACGTGCGATTTACGGCACGGCACATATGATGTTTGGATTGAGATCTTTTCATTTAATGATGAGAAAATAAGAGGATATTAGAGTACAGTGACAGTTTTGCTTGTTACGGACAATAAGAATGTTCCAGGAAGGGATGCATGCAAACGATTCCCTAAGGCATGTGGCCGAACGAATCTACAAATTATCCCGTGAACACGATCTCTCACGAATTCCATACAATAAGTTAAGGGCATACATCATAAATACGATGTATCTGGTGAAAATGGGACCAGATATCGAAGAGGTGAGTGCTGATAAGATTGCAATCGTTGATCTGTTATTGCTCTGATGCGATCAGATCACATTTATGTCACATTTGTAATCAATCAATCAATATTATGATCAGTGATGATCGTTTGCGCAATTAATATCCAGTTCATCTGTCATGCATATCTGTTTTTGTAATTTCTGATATCATCTATCACTACAATGATGAAAGAGGTCAATAATAATCATGAAGATATATTTTGTTGTTCCCGTAAATATCGCAAGTTGCATATTTATCCCTAAAACTTTCTCAATTTTTGAATTTAAAGTGATGTATTCAAGTAATATTTTGGTTCTACTATCATCAGTTTTGAAAATCAGTTGAATGAGTAAAATCTTGTCATTCAATGTTCAATGATTTGCGTTTGTGAATGGACGATTACATAGTCATGTGGCCGAATATTTGCTAAGATATATAAAAAGAACACACGGGCATGACACTTTGTCAACGATGTGTATAATGCAATCCACTGTTCACTTCTTCCTTTGAATGGAATCGCGCAGTTGGTGAAGATTGAAGGGAAAGGAGCTGAATGAACTAAAAATAATGCACGAGCTTGTTGGGTTTTTCCAAAAAATCACTTTGACCTCTAAATTTGAACGTTACGCGACTGTAGCTATGATTATCTTTTAGTCATCAATTTTATCACAACCCTTGATTCAGGTTGAACAAGCACTCTTGGCTGCAATGTACATATTCTCAACAAAACCGGTAACCTTTCGGACGCTTCAAGAGGTTTGCTTTCATTTGCGTGGTACTGTACAGCTTATACCGATGTAGTAGTATTGTATGGTTGCATCGGATTCCTCATATAATCGTGATAAAAACTATCTTGCATTTGAGGATATTTGATCGAATTTTTGTTTTGAAACGGTTCTAAGCTTTCGAATTTGCACTGTTTGATCTCTCACCATTGAAATTTGCAGATATTTCGGGAACACACCGATGAGGTGCTTGCAGTGTTCGCGCAACGTCTTGAGTAAGTATTATGCATTCTTGATAAAGAATTCCTCAATGTGATTATTCATTTCGATGCTAATGTGATGCTATAAACAGTTGTAACCGTGGAGAGACGTGTGATACCTCAAGTTCATCTCTGTTCGATTATTTGCTGAAACCTCATTTGCACATTCTCACTCTGCTCGAACTCCCCTTATACATCGATCATTTCGAATAATTTCTTTTTGAAAATGTTCAAAAAATTTTGCAGTCATCGATGTTATTATTCGAATTTCGCAGCAATAACAATACACACATTGTTGGTGTTCGCTTTCGACAGCAAACTTCGTATTGGAGCTGCTACAAAAACGCAGGTGATAATACTGTTGAAAGTATTGCGATTTAATATCATGTGTGCACCAAGTTATCGCTACCTAAGAGGAATGATTACTGCATGTGATAGATTGGAGGTTTTCCACTAGATAGATCGAGATTATACACTCGAGAAAGTATTTCCTTGTATATATTAAATGAAAACTGCTCAACTCCATGGTGTTTTTCAATTGAATATATTACGTTTTAAGTTGATGAACAAATTTGTGCAATTGTTACGTGCGTTCGTACAGCTAAGTGTTGAACATCGTCTACGAGAACGCAATAAGCATATTATCATCGATACGGTACGCATGTTGGCTCATCGAGAGGACTCGATCAAGGTTTGAAATCTGAAGTTTACGAAGTTACATCAGAGTTTGTTCCGTTGATATCAACAACCAATCAAGAAACATTTGCTTGGCGATGATCATTCAGATCTTTTGCAGTTTTTCTGCTATTTTCGCATAAATATTTCAAAGTTATTGAAGTTACAGTAGTTCATTTTGAGACTTTATGAACAAGCTCACTTCAGAAATATTTTGCCAAAGAGAACGGAATCGAGATGTTACTTTGGTTTCTGACGAATGAACCGAGTGAGCAGGTGATGTATTACGCGGCATTCGCACTTCGTTATATGTTGAATCATCCTGACAAAGTTATTGCCGAACGATGTGTAGCGGCCAACGGTGTTAAGGTGAGAACAGTCCATTTTGAGACTTCTCACCATTCATGGTTCCTTAATCTGAACTTTTACCTCACATCTTCCCAGTCTTTTGCCACTATGCGATTTTGTAAACCTTCAACTTCAGTTCAAATTGTTCGCATTAATTTGTATCTATATTGTCGATGTTTGATCTAAAAGTGCATAAAATCACTAATTGTAAGAGTGACTTTCAAATTATCGGTTTATCGATACTTGCAGGTATTAGCTGATAAGTTATCGCATGGTTCACCTCGGTTGTTAGTTGAATGCAGCAATTGCCTGTCGGCGATAAGTGACGTGGAATCACTCCGAGAAGTGGAATTAGCAAAACCTCTTCTTCACATTCTACAGATTCTTGGTTCAACCGAATCTGAACTAGTGAAACACTCGTTAGGATTCATTGGCAATGTTGCATCTTCGAATCGAACCGGTATAATAAATCCGAATAAGGTTCATTCTTTATCTTACTTACTGCACTAATATATTCTATTCAAAATGTTCTCATTTCAGTCAGTTCAGAACCTCAATATTATCTCGTCATAAGTGAATTGCTATGAGTGACAGTTTATATAATATTTTCAGTTTAAATCTCACGAATATAGCAAAAGTTATGATAAATTACGACGTTTCAATCAATTCTTTGTACATTACTATTGATAAACTGAGCTTGCGAAATTTCAAGGAGTTTTTGGTGAGAAACCAAGGTCTTGAAAGTCTTGTGAATGTGCTCAAATATCACTTGTGTTCATCGGATAACGTTCTGCGTTCGGTCGAGTATGAAATCATTGAGAATGCCATCTTTGCACTCAAAAATCTGACTGCCAATTTTGTGAGTCTCGAACGAACGAGCAGTGTAAGGAAGCAGGTTGGTTGGCCTTCAGTAGCACTTCATCTTATGTTCTGTTATTGCGCACAAAATATTATCTACTTGAACGACATCGATCAAAACGAAAAATTTTCGTTGATTCAATTTTTTTGATCACCGTAAAGAAAACATCTCGAGAGTAGTGACCAAGAATCGGAAGTGTTGATTTTATCTTTGCATTCAGTTCGCTGATATCGAAGGTGCGCTCATGACAATACTCGACCATTTATATGCAACTCAATTGCTCTATCAACCGAGGATGAATCGATTACAGTTCCAAATTTTTGATATTCAAATCGATAATCGACTCGACCTGTTATTGGTTCGAAATTTTCTACTTTATTTGATACTCCGTTCCTTCAATCGCATTCACGACCTTTAATCCGAATGATGGGAATAAAATAATTTGTATTAATTAATCAGATATTCAATTTCTCCAATATTCAGAAATATTCGGATGTACTTTACTTTGAAGGGATTACAGTGTATATGTTGCCTTCAATCATTTTCATCTCGCTTCAGATATTACAACGTCTTGTTGACGCCGGTTTAACGGGTCGATTGCTCAAAGCAAGCACATCAACGGGTATCAATTGTACTGAAACGTTTATCAATGTGATTTTACAAGCCGCCGATGTTAAGGTTCATACTTTTATATAAATACAATAATGCAGTTACGAATTGTATTTTAGGAATTTACAGTAAAGAACTAAGATTGGAAAATGGTGTATAATTTGAGCAATTAATTCTGTCTGTAAACAATAGACAACCACATACGTTTGCGAGCGATTCGGAGCGACTGTCTGAATGCGATACGTCTCGTTTTTCAGCTCACAATTAGTTCTCATTAATTAGGAACCGTGAAACTAGAGATCAATCTCCGTAATTGCTGATCGTAATTCTAATTATGATACGACCAGTGATCGTAATTGAACGACTTGAAGGGGATCCTGGTAACTTCGACTGAGGAATGGAAAAAGAAAAAAAGAAAAAAAATCTTCCTGTAAAAACCGCGATAAATACAGTCAAAAAAATCAAGAGTGCCGGATTTACAGTAGTAGCCATTTTCATGGCAATATGAGGATATAAATGTGCTAAAACACTTCGATACAAACACTCGAGAATAAGCCCGTGTGTACATCACATTCGAGCATTCACTTAAAGTGAATATATGAAAATAACAAAACTACAGGAACGATGTACATTCGAACAACAAAAGGCGAAACTTTCGAACACAATCGAACAATCTCTGAACATAATTCGTCGTCTCGGTGATCATCCCAAATTTCCGCAACAAATGCGACCGTTAATTGGGTAAGTATCGAACAATAAACTGATATAATAATATGGAACGATACGATATGTGAATGAAATACATGAATTGTTCACCGATACCTAACAGTTTAGCAGTTAGTTTTAGTCTGAGCTGCACTTTTGCAATATCTTCATAACTTCCACATAATGAGCATATCGAAAGTGAATGTTTCAATTGATAAAGTTACTTTAACTGCCTTCCGATAAATTATTCGACTAATGGTGGGGGAATGACGAGTAATTGAGCAAAAGGTGAGCGTGAGCAGTGAGTGGCTCATGCTCATGATGTTCAGCAAAGAGCAAGCAATTGCAAATTCATTTTATGGTGAGCAGTGAATAAGCAGCGAACTTGAACAGGAAAAACACCGTATGCAGTGAGTAAGCAGTACCTTCTTTAGGAAATTCCTCATCATTATCTTTGACTTAGCACTGCTCATTGCGTTCTCTGAAGTGAGCTCTTTTATTCTCGTTCGCGGAGGAAAGTCTTGCTCGAAACCGAGTGGTATACCAATATCATTGATAAAAATATGCCAATTTCAAGGGGACAATCAAGGCTGAACGATTTGATGCGTTCTTCGACGAGTGCATCCGTTTCGTTGGCCCTCTTAAGGTTCATTGATATTGTTGTGCATGAGCCATCTATTCGTGATCAATTCTATCAGGATTCGGTATTCATGGACATCATTCGATTCTACTTAGCACATAAACAGCCCGAATTTTGTGAGTTGCATCTTTTTACTTCCACTTTAGCGACATCCACAGTCATAATAATTTAATTACTTGGCATTTCCACTTTCTCTAATTGTAAGTACTATTTTAATTTGTCTCAGATATATTATGCATCCCGTTCTTTTGCAATTTTCAAAATGAATGAAACGATTCAAAGGTATAGTAGTATGTGGTCATTTGATCTACGATCACAAGCAGTGAATGATCACTTGTAGGGAACTGCTTGTAATGGTGTTCTTGAGCTAATGATTAGCATTGAAGTATTGGAAGCAATCGGATAACGAGGAATTATATGAGCTGATTTGAATGACACAAATGACAGTGTCAAATTATATTTCAGCTGATCTCGCTCGCACAATAATATCAAAAATTGAAGAATGTGATGTAAGCATGCAGTTGGCAGAAGTTCTCGACGAGCATTACATGAGCTAGCGATGAAGTGATTATTATTCAGCCTTAAATTACTTGTGAATATCGTTGTTTTCCTTTATTGTTATTAGTTGCTTTGTTATTATCATTGTTAATTCAATTATTTACATTGTCCTCATTAATTGTATAGAATGTTATCTGTATCTGTCGAAGAATGTTTTTGTTTGTTATCAGAAATGAATCTGATTGAGTTAATGTATTTTTCATTTATTCAGTGCCTCTCAGTAAGTGATCGCACACTCTCCTGAAGTAAATTGTCCGGGATCCCTGTGAAATGAGCGAGTTTACAATTAGTTCTTCCCCAAAGAAATATAGTACGTACTCTGACGTTCTCTAATGATCTGTGAATATAATCAGAGACCTGACTGATCCCTCTGAATCGTCATGGAACATTGGCGATTCAAAGGGATCATTCAGAAATTGAAGCGATTAAAAAAATTCAAGCGATTAAAAGTGAAGATATACGGTAACTGTACAGTAATCTCTTCACTTGCTGTCAGAGACTAGTTTTTGCTTTTTTTTGGTCAGCTCTTATATGTTCCTCATTTGCATTTTGTACTCTTGATGATCTGTGATCTCTTGATGGAATTTTTAACGACAAAAAGGGTATTCTTTTAATACTTTTGTTTTTTTTTCTCAGTCGTTTTTGTTACATTTTGTTATTATTTCATATAGATTCCATCAACTTTGTTCGTTTTCTCTCCAAAGAATAAATCTGTTTTATTTTTGTTATGCTTTCTCAATTCATTTTCTTTCCACAAGTGCTTTATTCAGACTTTTTGATTATGATAAGCAGAAATCGTCGTTAATAAATTCAGCTTTTGGTTGGTCCATTGCAGGATATTGGTCTAACATATACTCTTATTACAGTAGTGTACCGTTCAAAATAATACGATTCCCCTGCTTTGGACGCCTTCGGAACTTAAGAAGCGCTTTCCAAATCCCCATCAAGACGCAACCCTCTGAGCAGAGGTCGGCGACGTCGATGCACTGAAAGAAATATCTCATTAAATCGATGATCACATAGACTGGTTATACTCAACTTCAAATGATATTAATCATAAGTGCTTGATAGCCGTTATGTTGTGAAATATGAACACTGCAAAACCATTACATAACACCCAAACAACACAACTCTCTTAGTCGCCCTCTGAAATTCCAGCGTCAATGGTATGATAGCAAATTAAAATAATAGCTAGTAGAGAATATATCCTGCATGATCCGTAGTTTTCATGAACGATAACAGCAAAGCTGGGAAATGACCGATTCTTCTAGCTGATCATCAATCGCACACCCAATTAGTAATCACCGGAATTCGATTTTTTTGCCAATAGCCGTCGATTAAAAATGGGCATATAAAGCACAGGACTATGGATTTTTGGTGGCCGTCAAGCCAACTCTAGGTGACAGGATATATGTTGTAAATATTCACTTCATCTGCAATGAACTTATCCAATCGTACTGCAGATGCCATGTCCACATTTGTTCCTTCAGCAATACGATGGTATTCTTAATGATATACCGCAAACATACGAATACATTTTATAAATAAAGTCTAAAGTGAGCAAACAAAGCACAAAGGAATAAACGTGATCTGGATTATAATTGATGTCACTAAATTGTTTATAAGTGCTTAACAATCGGCTTCAGCACGTTGCAGTTCACTTAAGTCACATCGATAAATCGCGTAACGCCAGTTTAACCACTGTCGTTTCAGCGATGGTCATTCAAGCGATGCACCGTCCGGCCAACGGTCATTCAAATGTGGTCATTTACATGTTATTATTCATTCGAAGTCAATTAAATTGTTTAATTCACCCTTTTTAAAGTTTATTCATTCAAAATATTAATTACATAATTATCATTGATTTCTTCTTCACTTTCAGCATCGACGCAAATAAATTAACGAAAGAACGGCAAGTGCATTGGTTTCTGATTCACAACTACTGCATAAATAGTTCGATAATTCCAAGCTTCATAAAAATATGAATGCGTTTCCTTTTTTTTCGTATCTTTCTTCAAGCACCTCAAATCAAAAAAAAATTTTGACTGCGCCACAGTGACATTAAAACAAAGTAGGATACCCGCAAAATATCATATAATACATTGAAAATTTGTGATCATCAGTTCGGGTGAAAGATTCGCAAGAAAAATGACAAATATCAATATCGGTCCCAATAAAAACTGTACAATTTCAGTGAATAGAGGATATGAAATGGAAACAGTAAATAGTTTCATAAAACAATATGCATTTCATTTACGGATCCAGTTTCTAGTAACAGAACTACCACTCGTTAGACTCACTGAAATTCACAAACAAACTCGATATCATCGCCATATCAGAGAAATTCTTGACCACTTATTGACTTGACTGGCTGATATTAAGCGTTCGACTGATGCTAAGTGACGATGCAATTAACAAATAATGAGCGATTTCATGTGAGCACGATTGGGTACCGTGGATCAGAAGCATTCTAAGCACACGAGGATGCTGAAAGAATAAATAAACAAACATTTACATAACTGAATCAATACAGGGAACACATAGCACAGAGGGGGAAATATCGCAGAGGGAAAATTTTGAACGGGTCGAGTGGAGCAACTTCATTGGACGAACAGCACAAAACGGCAGTGCGATGAGTAGCAAGAATTCAACAGCTTGTACCAGGTGTGCACAAATGACCACATCCGGTCGGGCATCGATTGTCCGATGCGAACCATTCGGCCAAGTGCTCCGGATGACCGCCGTGACGGCACACTCGACACCAACCCCATACGCCACGAACGGGCATCGCACTGAAATTTCACTAATTCTTCGTTTTGTAAGCATAACAAAACCACTGAAAATTTTCATTCCTGTTCGAATGCATTCAAATTATTAGATAATTCGTTCAGAAAAAAGCATTGATTAAACCGATTCAACCAGTCGAAACTGCATCAGAATACGGAATCCACTCAAAATATCATCAGCTTCAATGATAGAATGGCTATCGCTTTTCTGATTTCCACTCGGAAAAGTATTTTCAGAAGCAAAAAATTTACCAAATTGCGCAAGTGAAATTGAATTTTCGATGACATTTCTTGCAAAACGGTGATACGCTCGCTGAGACGGCCTTACAATGCTGACAAACCAGTCGTAAGAAAGTACCCTGAAAATTGTACTCACTTACCAATCTATTTTTCCATAAAGATAATCTATATCATATGAACTAAACTAATACGAGCGAAAAATCTTCATGAGAGTGAAAAGGAATTGTAAATGAAAATTCACAACTATAACTCTGATTTCGATAACTGAAAATGATATCGAGTGCTAAGAAACACAACCAGCCAATCGCTCCACTCACCTCATTACTCAAATTACTAATCGATGGAATCCAACAGAGTTTTATCACTTCCGCAGATGTATTGCATAGTTCATATCGGTCCAACATTTCTGAACACCGAATCATTATTCATTCGAGAAGTTATTAAATTTGCACTTGACGCAGTCACATGTAAATTGAGGTGAAATTCTCGAAATAATCATAATAATCAGTACTAGTCATAAGAATCGTAAATAATCATAACAATCATTAATAATCACAATGCACGATTCAATCGCACATGATGAATATAATATAAATGCTTTACTTAAAGAAAGAAAATAAACTGAAATCGCACGGAATAAAATTTGTTTTGAAAAACTGAAAATGAATCCGACCGAGATAATCGAGAAACCACAACTTCTGAAGAGATGCATCGATCAAATCGGCAGCACGCTCACCGAGCACCAACAGAATTGAAACGCACGTCTGCACATCGCCCTTGAATAAAAGTCATTTTCGATTCAAAACATTTTCGTATTAAGCGTACCCGTGAAAGTAATTCCGATAACCATCGAATTTTTTCTTTTTTCCTCAATAATATCTTGAATGTAATACATTTCTTGGGAAAAATAACGCTTTTAAATGAAGTCTGCTGAAAAACAATAAGAATATTGGTTTAAAATCGAATTAAAAAACTTACAACTTCAGAATATTGCATGAACATCGATTGAATTATTGGAAGAGGATCCCAAGGCGGTAGACAGACCGCCTCATTACGAAAGGATAATTTTCCTGAAAAAGAGATATTTAGATCAAGAACAAAGTGATTTATTAGTTACATTCTGATGTCACTGATCTGTTCAAGAAACTTCATTCAGACTTCTTCAATCTTCTAAAACTCGGATACGCAGCACATAAATCGTTGAGTGGACGAACCCATTTGTGAGCAGTATTGCTCTGCGCTCTCCTCACTCTCCTCCGCCGTATTCGACGTCGTCGTACACGTCGAACTGATCTCGTCACTGCTCATCGACCGTCTCTCTTCCATCTGTTCTAATTCTTCGCACGGACGTGGTAAGAATGCCTCCGTTCTCAACAGCGGCGAACTATCCAAACGACTTCAAAATACACCAGATAAATGAATGCCAATCAAGCTTCTCATTCATGCTAGCTTATAACGTCACGAAGTCGAGATTTTTCAGGCCTTGGCTATTGTGAACCTCCATTGGAATCAGTGAACGACTGCGAGTTTCTGCTCTATAAATTCGTTCAGGAATAGTTTCCAGCCCTCCTACGATCCTATGATCAAATAAAAAATTCCTAACAAATACTGCATTTCAAGATCATGTTCTGCGAAGGTTTGACACCCAAAAAGATGGATGTTTACACTGTTTCAGGATCACAACAGAACCAGACGAAAAACACTTCAACACAGCATCAGTGAATTTGGCTGAAGAATATGTTACCAAAAAATGTCCGTATCAAGTGGGTCAGAGACCAGTCCTGCCAGATTCAATTCAGCATCACCAAAATAGAAATCTGCTGTTTCGGATAAGGTTGACGGTATCTGTGCACCAAAAAGACCGCCGCCTCCATTCCCCGTCATCAACTGCTCATCGCTACCCTCTGCCGTGCGATATGCAGCGCCCATCGACGAGCGATTCGACGAGAAACGCGATCCAATCAACTCATCTTCTTCATTCTCCTCAGCTGAATTATGAAAACTTTATTTAGATTTGTAATCTCGCTTCCATATCAATACAACATGCGAAGTTCAGCCAAATAATTGAAATTCAATGCTAAGGAATATAGAATTGCTCATCTAAAAGCTGAAATTCTCGTGCTGATACCCTCTAAAGCTCACAGCTTTAGCCGCGCAATGACCTCAACAGAACCAAGTGCAGAATCAATCCAACGCCTCAAGCTGACTCAATTTCTAATTCTGGATACTGAGACCTTAAGCCGTGTCCTAATGGTTTCAACCATGCACTGTAACGAAATCAAGAAATAAGAGATGAGAGCGGCTAACACTGGTGAGTATTTCGACGTTGTTCACCACTAGACGACGAATTGCGTTTCGAGGAGTGCTCTTCAAAGAACGGTGACAGAGAACACAACAACGACAACATCCGCCAGGTGTGTGCCAGCTCACAGTTGCCGATTCTTTCTGCCACTTCACTGTTATATTCACATAACGTCTCCAGTTCGGATCCACTCAATTTATAACTGAAAGAAGTTCGACAATTGACATATCGAACGCAATATCGTTAACGTAACAATACTTGCAATTATTAATGTCAATTTGCCGACCGTTCGGTCTGTGACTCTGAAACATTTCACTGGATTATCTTCTATGCACGATCCAGTTTTAATGTTAATTCATAAAGAAACTATTTAATGAGCGATACGAATGATCAAATGAGTCACGTTCAATGCATTCAATAATCTGAATTAACTCATAAAGGATTCAGTATCGACTCACTTCAGGGCTAAATAAACGAAATTCGCCTGCGAAAGAGACTTCTGCGCTTCCCTCGGAACACATCGTATCAACGAACTGTGTGTCCACGACTGGAACGGATCATATCTGCGGCGTCTCGGTGCTATTGCCTCACCTTTATCCAATTTATCTCTATCTGCCAGTGACTCATTTTTCAACTTCAGTTGATCGCTTACTGAAATAATACGTAATTGCCATCAACCCTCAGAAACGCTGCCGTCTCCAAAACAAATCACTTCAAACTTTTGAATGAATCTAAAATAAAATCATACGAATCAAATCATACGAATCAGCAACTTACAGGCGATAACAATTTCGCCGTTTGGTGACACATCCAACGCGATATCGTTGACGTATGTGAGTGGATATTGAGCATTATTGAAGTAATGCATCACAACCAGGCCATCTTTAGCAGCACTAACAAAGCAATCGTCCAGCTCTGGATTCCAGATCATATCTTCAAAAAATCGAAACGATTACACAGTTCTATCCAAATCAATTGGGCAAAAAAGAACAATCATTCAATTCACTGACCACAACACATATCACGATGATCATCGAAACTTGCGAATGGCAAAAATGGTCTTCGTATATCCCACACATAAATATTTATATCATTCACAACCGCACAGCTGGCCACCTAGAAATTCAACTGCTCAAAATCTTTCATTCATTAATAAACACATTGCTGGAGCCGTGTTAATTTCAACAACAACGTAATTCTTCAGATGATCGAAAACGTCAAAACGTCTTCAAAATATAACTGCACCTGATATTTATGTTGTGGTCTCCACTGAACACGAGCCACTGGCGTAGTTGATTCAACTGAGTAGATTTCTGAATTTATACCCGATTCTGACCAATCCGACCACTTCCATATCTGAACAAAAACGAAATCTTATTCATCAAACTAATAAAATTGTATCTGCTTTGACAATAGGTTTGCGAGAAAAAGCTGAAAATGTTGAAAGGATGAATGAGCGACGAACTCGAATGAATTTATCTCGACCGGCCGTTGCGATCAGATTGCGATCATCGTAACTCGGATTCAGTGCGATACTTGCCGGGCCATGATGTGCAACGAACTGCCTTAGTGGTCGATCGTTTCGCCGTAAATCCCAAAACCTTATGGATCCTCCGTCATCGGCTGACACAAAAATATCCATTTGTTCCGAATGTAAACCAAACTGAATATCACGTATCGGATCGAATGATCCACTTCTGCAATTCAATCAATTCAAATTCTACTTGAAAACGGATCACGAAATAAAATTTACTAGAGAGCAATCAATAATGAATACGATCACTTCTTCAATAATGAAAATCAAGCAAAAATAACCCTTCTCATGAAAATTCTTAATCCAGAAAACAGGCAACTGTGAGATACAACGATTGCTTGGAATATCTCATATTTGTCAGAAGTGCAGTTGAGTAGTTATTATAGTGATACGTCTCAGTATTTCAATCATCAGATGATATCACAATTGAGAAATAACAAACTGACATAAATTTCTGAACGTAGTTTGCACTACGAAGATCGTACTGGGCAACCACAGCATCCTTAGCACCACTGATGAACGTATTGCGATCTGTTCGATGAAAGCAGACTTTTGTGGCCGAGCGATTGTGCGCTTTATAAATTTGCTCTGCAATGTTTGATGTCGCACTTGCAAATCAAATAAATGCAATGAATAACTATGCCAACAACAAAAAATAAATGCTGCAAAAAGAAACGACGAACTAACCGATCGCTGCTTTTTCAACATCCCACAAAACAACGGCTCCATTTGTCGATGTCGTTGCGATAATATTATCTGAAAGTCACTTCTCAAAATCAAAATCAAGCAACCCAATCCTTGGTTCAGTAAATAGCTTGAGAACGAATCGCACGGAATAGCTGAAAAGTTCTAAAGATGCACATCAAAAAGTCCACTTATTCTCATCGTTAATATCTACAATTGTTCACGTTCGATGCAAGTAATATATTTCCGTACTTCTGATAACGACTGCTGGTATTTCAATAGCGAACAAGTGCTAATAAATAACTAACCAACAACAGGGCTCCAAGCGACATGACTCGCTGAATACATCAGATTCAACTTCCTCGTTCGTACCGATCGCATATCAGCTATCAATTTCAGAGTGGCGTTTTCGGTGGAGAAAATCTTCATCACTGCAAAACATTCGAATAGAAATGTCCCAATGACAACAATCATGCAAAAACATGTTGAGAAGAAAGTACTAACGTCCTTTACTGCCAGCAGCCACCAGTTTTGTATTGTCTCGATTCGCACTCAGAGCATCCACCTGCTCTTGCAGGTCTATGTGAATATTCGACTTCACATCCTTCTTCATCTTTCTATGCTCTACCATTTGATGTCTATAACATCACCACACTCCATAGAAAATTGACCATCTGAAAAACGAATCTTCATCTGACGGTAATATTGTGGACAATCAATTTTCGATTGAATCCATTAAAGCCCAATGGGCACACTTCTTCCCAGTAAGGAAGGCGATTTTTTTCTTTCATGCTGACATTTCAGTCAGAAAAAATCGCACTCTACATCTAGAACCATATTTGTTAAATTTTTACCACATATATCGGCATTTCTCGTGATGACTTTCAAATTCAGAAGCAATTCAGAGGAGAAGAATTAAAGGAATATTTTGTTCATAATACATAGCTACTGACATCGATGGGTTAAACTGACAAATACGAAAATTCAATTGCAGAAAACAATTGTAACTGCATTAGATTATGGCAATTAAAGTCTGTTAAAGTCAAAATGTTTATTTTCAATTATCTTCATAACATTCACAACGAACCAACAATTGAATAATACACGTAACACGAAGGAAATGTGGAGATGTTTCAAGGTATAAAATATAATACATCAGTTATAAGTGATTCAAACACTCTCATCGTCAATTGACAACAGTTGAAAATATCAAAGTGGAATCATTAACTGCATGGAATCGTTAACAAACACATTGAACATGCTGATACCTTAAAACAATAAAGCGCTGATATCGTAATATAAACAGAAAGCGAAAACAAATCAACATTCAAAAAACACTTCAACATTATTTGAAATGCTGAATATTAACATCAAGAAACATAAACAGGTAGAGTATACTTCTTGAATTAAGAACAATGGCTGAGATAAACTTCTCAATTTTCGCACAACAGAAATCTATACGAGAAAGGAGGATTTAGATTCAATCAAGTAAACGGGCATTTTATGAAACAATTGCTATTCTGTACGATTCCTAAATTCTTTCTTGACGAAACCAAAAATCTTTCTTCGGTCCAGTCATGCAATGGGAATTATTTAAACGAATGTGTCCTATTCAACAGAGACCTCCTCAACGAAATATCTGGCTGTCCAAATGTCGTGAGTACATTCAAATAAAGGTTTCACTCCATATCATCGTCATCCTCAAGCATATTCTCATCTGCGATCCGTTCTCTGACCGCATGTCTGATCCTCACCTCTTGAGCCTTCATAATGTCCTTCTCGACCAACTCTTCCAGCTCTTCTTTCTTCTTCTGGGCATCCTAAACCAATAACTTATGACAATCACTAACAACAAATAACAATCCATCCATTAGAAATAAGCATGCATCTACCATCATCAAAACCTTTGAGTGATGAAGTCAGGTCTTCAACATACTGAATATATCCTCAAACACAAATCCGCCCAGTCTTCTTGCAAAAACAAATATAATTCAATCGTTTCCTCAAAAAACACAATAGGCAAATTCTTTCTCTCAGATCAGGCGATTCGAAATAGCACAAAACACGCAAGTGAAAACAACAGTCAATCGCACACATGCTAACCAATTGATCGGGGAAATCATAGTTGATTTTGCATAGCTGTGAGATAAGTTTCTCTTTTTGCAGTCGAATATTCTCGATGAGTGGCTTTGACGTACGTGCTCTACCACGAACTCCTGCCTCGTCACCTTCAGCGTGGGCCTTCACCACATTCTTGAGCATTTTTGCCGTCAATACGGTCAGTGCTCGTGCACCTGGACCGGTGAAACGAGAATTCACCTGAATTTATTCATCTCACCGAATGATTACACAGAAGACGAGCTCTTGAAGTGGACACTTTCATAATCAGCACACATTTCAAATGTGAACGACAACAATTTCAATCGCTCATTGTGAATCCAATTCGCTATGAAATGAATGTTGGGAATCGTCCTTTTTTTATGATAACTTCAGAGAATTTATCAGTATATATGAAAGGTGACTAATAGCCGATGTCTTTACCAAATCCTCCAAAGTACCCGCACGTTCCACGCTCGCAAACAGCTTCTCGTCAGCAAACGTTTTTCGCCGTTCGTTTCTCGGCTTCAGAATTTTTATGGTCACCATATCGCCTGGATTAGCGACAGCCGATGTGTAGGCAAGACCGAAACGACGACAGTTCAACTTCTGAACGTATGACACTTTTCAGCTTAGATTAAATGAATAGAAAGCACCAAAGGCAACATTTGAATCGCAATCAATCATCTACGAGAATTCAGCATATTCACTTTCGTTTCAATTAAATGATCAAAAATCGCTCTATTGATGATAGTTTTGATGGAGAAAGTCTTTCTAATAGTCGTTGATGTCCGCGAGAGATTTTTTACTTAACGATAAGACAGTTCATTTCTGAAAATTCAGCAACAGTTGAATATCATTTCACTGATCACAACAAAATTCCTATCAAATAAGACGGACAGAATCAAGCTGTGACTGAGCCGTACCATAACGTTAAGCCACGGTTCTGAATAGGTCACTCTCAATCGCACGAGCGGTAGCTTTGGTTGTCGCTCCAGTCGAGTGCGACACCCTTCAGCCAACATTTCATTCAGTTTTGCGGCTATCAATTTTTCATCCTAAATTTCAGAGTAGATGAACGATTCAGTGGGAACCTTTCGAGAAATAGTAATCTCAATTAGCCATTCCAACCGGCAACAAAGAATCAAATGGAACTGTTCAGTTAACCACATATAACAATAATTATAATAATAGTGAATAGAACTATGAACAGAATGCAAATACCCTAAAAAACAATCAAAAAAAAANAAAAAAAAACAACGAACGGGCATATTACGGGTACGTGACGTTTTGGTCGCAGCTGGTGGCGGAGGTTCAGTGATCGCTAAGTCATCGAAGAGAATCTGGCGAGGAGTCTCGAGACGGATTGGAGTCGAGAAGAACTTTCGCTCATACACAGTGACGATGGCACAATGCTTTGGAATTGCCTCTTCGGGTGATAGCGACGTGGCGATTGTACTGCCCGGTTGCATTATATAGAAACCTTCAACAATACGAATCAGCCAAATTTTTGGGTCACATATAACCAATAGAATTTCAGTACCACATTCTTAAAAGGCTGAGAAATTAATCAACTCGAAAATTTATCAGCACAAGCCGAGTTGAACAAAATACTAAATGCTTCTCATAGAAATAATACAAATTTTGACATATTCCAATAGACCGCATAAACATTTTAAATGCAGATTTCAATGATATCCTTATGAGATCGAATACAGAGAACTGTTAAATGGGAATAAACACAATATCACTTACCGTCCCCAAATGTATCCGCTGAACTTTCGTAATACTGTGGTTCTGAAAAACAACAAGTTAAAAGTTCAATCACTACTTTTGTGATGAAATTTCACTTGATATTGATGGTTTATTGAGAAAAGAAGTCAGCGGAATGTATGAAAGAACTCGCCTATCTTACATTCATGTTCATGTCCCCAAACGACTAGATCGAAAAACGATGGAATCAAATTCTCTGGCAGATGTGCTCCAGTGCTTCGATCTTTCGATCGCCGGGGTCGATTCTGATGAAGCACCAAAATTTCGAACCACGAATCCGGATCCTCGAGTGGTCGCAGGAACCGGATTTCTCCTTCTGAAAATGAGCGAACTAAATACCACTTTAATACAAATTCATTCTAAGAAAACCAAATCGAGGTTTCATAAAACAAGAGAGAATCTAATTTTCAATTACCTCTGAAGGCCCGGCACAAACGGTCATCACGTTGACTGCCAATACCGTAAATGGCCAAATTCGTCTTACCCTTTCTCAACAATACCGGTGAAACAACGAATTTATCGATTTCTTCGAATTTACCAAATAAATTGATAAGACCCGCTTCGTGTAGGAGATCCAGGGCACTCAAACCCTCAAACATATGAACTGAATTATTATTGTGGATTCATTAATCGTTTAAGTCACTTCCCAAAAGGAAATAGCTAACGCTTTTAAGACACCCTGCATTTTTAATTCTGAGTATTTTTCGATTATTAAAAGACAGTCCCTATTCCTCGAGACAGTATGCTTCAACGAACGAATCGCGCTGAATCAATCTGCCGTAAAAAATGGAATTTCAAATGATGGAAACAACAGATATATTACTCACTTTTCCACTGAGATCATCATGGTTTCCATGAATGGTAAATATAGGAAGACCGACGTTAATGTTGCAATCCTTAAGAGAAAACTGTTATGGTCATCAACATTTTCTTGACACTTTCATTAGAAGTGTCAATAGAATATCAGTTTGATTCCTTGTCATGCAACTCATGACAACGAATGAATTTGCAATTGTGAATGTGAGAGAATGAATTTGAATTCGCAATTGAACATGAAAGAGAATGAATTTGAGAGAGTGCAATGCGATTCTCTGTGATTCAAATACCTACAATACGAATTGTAAGGGTGTTGTGAGAGGGCAGTGATTAGTTCACCTCATAATTAACGTTATTGAATGCACTATGCATGAAATTCGCCGACGGATCGCTAAGGAACTGCAAGGCGACCGGTCGTTCGTTGAGACAATACCTTCGTAGAAGACGAGTAACTCGATGTTGCATTTCGCGCGATGGATTGTTTTCGTGATATAAATCACCTCCTTAATCCAACATTCAACATACAATCTAACAGAGATGTTTTGATGACAAACTGGAATGTATTGCTGAGATAAGATGATGGAAATATAGTAAATAACAGTCTTACAGTAATACCTAAAAGAATGAAATCAACGTTTTGTTTGATAGCAATCTGAAGGACCTCTTCCAAGGCACGAATCGAATCAAGGTCACGCTCCAGAATCCTCTCTCCATAACCAACATGCAAATCAGTGGCCACCAGAATACGAATCTTCAAAAACACCAACTCACTCTCTACGGACCAAACTGTTTTTCTTACCATTTTTTGAGCAGATATCGAGCGATTTTTCAATTCTGCTCGATTCTACAATTCTAGCTACTGCAGAAACTGCCTCCATATAATATACTCCACCAATTTCTCAGTCTCAACAGTGTTTCAACATGTCGTAATTCTAACGCTTATGAATTCATTTACTATTGAATGGATTGTTTCATAACAGTTCACTGACTGAACCACTTTCCATTGTCATCACTTGCGATAACATTTCAAATCCTTCAAAAATCGAAGTTTCTCAACCAGAATCTCATTCAGAATCACGTAGCCAACTGACATGATCAGATGTTTGTGAAGAATCCTCAGTAGGCTCGCCGTTACCATAGCGTTCGTCAACCAACTCTCCCGATGAATTTAGATCATTCATTATTTAGATACGCCTTTCCCATTCAACGAATCAAAGACCAAAACTACCACAAATCAAACCCACGAGCTGTAACAGACATCAGCTGACCCGAGCAGTCAAACGATAAATTCCATCGCTATTCACCGCAACCACCAACCAGAATCTACTGCACCCCGTAAAAAATATACTGACTCGAATTTTATTATTATAAAAAAGAATTTTCAGAGTGCAATAGGGTATTCTGGATCTATCTACACATAACGCAGTCTCTGTCATGTTCATCCATCTCAAAAAAGATATTTTTCGACCTGCATGAATTCGCGATCTACTTCTCACGCTCTAAGAATGGGATCGAATCTGAGTTCAGTACATGCTGAAGTTCTGCTCTAATGTAAAAAGAAATTTCGCACGTGAACTCTTCAATCCAACTGAACAAACTTCATCTCACCCATCTCTCATCGAATATTCTTCATGAATGAGATATGATATGCAATAACAGCATTTGTTGTAGGAATTTGATGCTGCTCATCGAGATGTTTATTGAAACGAAGAATTTATTAAATAAAAGAAGAATAAAATAATTGAGTAATAATAAAAACAATGATTAGATTATATTCAAACAAAACAACAACAACAAAAGTCACACCAATCAATCAATGCCTGATCGTCTATCAGTACGTGACCCATACACAAAATCATAATAATATAAATTTTGGTATCAATATTAATAGAAATAAAATTGACAGTGTTTATAATAACGATAAAATAATAATAATAATAATAATAATAATAATAATAATAATAACAATAATAATAATCAAAATATTGAACAGAGATACTCGGAGAAGATGCATTTAAAAAATGAATATAAAAACGTTCATATTAATTGATAAAACTAATGAAATCAATCACACGGATATATCTGTGTCTACTAAAAGTATGAAGAGTGGTACCATTGGAAAGGAGGAGTATCCACCACTCATCTGCACGATATTCATCATATAATCAATCCATTGTCGATTATGAAAAATAGTCAAAATTTGATAATCACCACGAACGCTGTCAGCTCTACCACCATGGAACACAACGAATATCAATCACCGTTTAACGCTGCAACAATGAACAAAACTTTACAAAAACACTTCCGCACGTCATCTACTAAAAAACTAATGTTATCAAGTCAAAAACACTCACACGAAAAACCCCAAAAGCTTCAAAATCATTCCAAAAAAAACGTTTCAATGACCGTCTGCACGACAAAACCATCAAATTTTCAAAGTGAACCTAACGAAGCGATGGCACATTATTACTCATCGAACTTCATCCCTCATAATTCACACCACTCAACGTATGTCAAAACTGCTACATGACGAATCAACCAGCATCATATAACCCCACCAACGAAACACCATACCCTATAGCGATCTCTGTCACGCTCGTCACGTCTACCGTCCTTGTCCCTATCCCGATGTCTATCCTCTCGACTACTCCGATCGTGATCCCGATGTCTCGATTCGTCACCGTGTCTACCGCCACGTGGAGAACGTGAATGATGACGCACTCTGTAATAAGTCAACCACCTAAACTCATTACTGAACTCCGAATTCAGTACTCTCAATATTCCTTGCATTTCAAAGAGATGATCTCCTATGAAACTAAACTTTCCACAGACTACGAATACAGACTTCTCTGGCTGACTGATCCATCCCTTCTCGAAGCGTTAAGTGCAAACACCAGCAACATCAATAACTAACCCTCGATCCCTGCCATTCCTGTCTCGGTCACGGTCCCGGTCGTCCCGTCGTCTACTGTGATCCCTTGCCTCTCGTCTCTCCTTGTCGCGTTCTCGATCACGTCGATCCTTTTCACTTTTTTGTTCACGTTCAGCGCGTTCCTTTATTTGTTAAATGTGATGATTACTGATGATCATTAACTCACCGCTTATCACCAGACACGAACAACTTACCGCTTCGAACGAATAACGGAATATAAATATGAAAAGGTACCTATTTTACACCTGAGTTGTAGATAAGATAGTATAAGCGACTTATCAGCAAATGCTACATATTCTCCATACTTGGCCACTCTTTCCTTTAAATAGCATTCTGGAGTCATTTCATCGACAAGAAAAAACGACACTATGCTCAGAAAACATTTTCCAGAAACACCTTTTTTGTTCGAACTAAAATCAGCTAAAGGTTCATCATCATGCCGCAAGAATTTTCACTGCAAAATGCTACCTCTCCAGAGGGACAGAGCTACCATCCCTTGCTGCTCACAGTAAGTAATAAAACATTCATTCTCACATCAACAGCAACGTGCGCAAAACAAAATCGAATCGCCTTCATAAATTAACTTATTCTCCTGGACTCCACTATTCAGAAGCCTCGCCAAACAGAACAGGTAAACTTGATGAAGATTCAACAACAAATTCAAGTGAAGCATAATGAAGTAGGATTGTTAAGTCTAAAAGTTCTACGATGACAATAAAATATCAAAACAAGAACACTCAGTTGCCTCGACAATCTGACGAGACTTGTAACGCGCTGTTTTTGCGTAAGCTAAGTAAACTATTTTCAACGCTTGCAGTGGAATTCTCGCATCAGTCCGCCACTTCAATAAGAAATGACTATTTTTTGGGTTTAATGCGTCTTCGCGGATGTATGGAATCCAGTTTTCATCTGAAAGAATGAGCGAAAAAGCAAATAAAAACCTGATATGACTCGCTCGCGCTCAAAGGTAACAACGTTCATTTCGAATTGAGATAGTAGGCGTATGAATGGATGGATGGACATAAACTCTATGATGCACCAGTGAATATGTCACTTAGTGGATTCATTCGATTAGCGATTTCTACAATATATACCACTCATCATCGATCATTATTCAACTGCTACCTCACTAAAGGCCATAATTACTCTAATACGCAAACTTCGCTACGAGAACAGATGAGGTTTCAATTAAGGAAGAAAAATTAACTGAGATAGAAATTCATAGAATTTGTGACCGTGAGTTGATCAAGCAGAACTGCTTTCAACTAATTTGGGGGCACAGAAATATTCCTTACGCAAGCGATCTCCCATAGTTCCTATGGAATTTCGCTACCTCATGATACCAGAAACAATCATGGAATGCCTAACACTGCAATAGCGCACCCCACCGCGGATGCAGTAAGCACCAATAATACAAGGGCATACGATTCACAAAGTCCGTGGTGAACTAGACATGCTTGGATTGTGTCAATTCAATCAGATGGTGGTGAAGATTAGATATGTCAGCATGCAATAACCCTCTTTCGCATACGTCCCATTCTCCAGAAGCAGTAAGCAAACACAATAAAACTGAAAATAGAAATAACCTTTCTCTTCTCCTCCCTTTTCTTATCCATTTCTTCAATAGTTGCACGTATCTTCGCATAAGCCATGTGTTGTTTGCCAGCATAATGATCGTCAATACGTTGCTGCACATCATTCACTAACATAAAACATCCACAAACCTGAATTTTTATTCACTATTAGAGTAATTCCTCCAGCTTTAAGATATTTTTAAAAAAAAGCATCAATCGACCTACGATGAAACTCAAGTATTCAACGATGAAACTGAACTCAAGCAAGCGTCACCTGACAGACTTCCATCGGTTTTGACAACTGATTTGCGAGATCCTCAATATGACTTGAGGGATTTGCCGATTGTGTTAGCAATCTATCCAGAGCCTGTCGTTCCTGTTTGAACTTTTCGGCTTGTCTGACCGCTTCCTTTGCCTCATCCACCTTGCCCAGTGCTCCGAGCTTCTCAGCTTTATCCATGCACTCACTGATTTTAGCCGATAGACTCGACTGTTGTTCAGTGATCAACTCTTTCTGACGCTTTTGTGCATCTGATTCCACTTCACCCTCCTCGCTCGTTGTTGCCACTGAAAGCAATACTTCGTACAAATTCATTCCGACGATAAACTGATAGATTCCCGAGAAATTTCGATCAATTTGATCATTTTGATGAAGACATCGATCAAACAATAGAGGAAATCAAAATTTCTGGAAGCCTAACTCGTACCGTTCGTTAACGGTTGTGTGACGGCCAATCTACGTTCGTTCTTTTCAATTTTCCTCCTAACTTCTTCATCCAGCCTTCGTATTTTATTCAAGAAATCCTCCTCATAACCAAGTTTCTCAAACCTACTACTCTGACGATACTTGGTTCGTAGAGCTGGGTCGTGCACCTAAAACATATCGTCACCATTGCACAAATTTCATTTCGAAACATTCAAATTCGGAACGATTTTAAATACTCCATGGAGAATAAACACAAAATGAAATGCTTGACGAAATTTACAAATGTTCAAGAAGTGAAAACCTGCAAATGATTGAGATTGAGTTACAGCAACAGGGAACACAAAAAGTGATCGAAGAAGCATCGCGAATAACAATCGCTCACCTTGGGACAGTAACCGAGATCCGCTTTTGTGTTTCGAAACATTTCATTCGGGCAAAATGAGACCAGAAAATGCTTGCATACGTCCGGTTCATCAAAATCCGGCTCGTTTGTATCACCAAAATCTGCATTTCGTTTTGGCCCCATCAGCTCATTGAGCATAGCGGCCATTTGCTCGGTGGCCGACATTTTGCACTGAAAATCGTTTTCATTGATAAAATTCGCCGCATTCCAATACAAACGAAAACCTTCAACAAGCAGCCAGATGCCACTCCACACACAACAAGCAAATAATGCCGCAACAATTGACGACTGCCTTAAATACTTTCGAGCACATAATTATGCACATTTTCGATCGAGCAAATTCTGCGGTGAGACCGTGTAATGAAAAGAAACACACTGCCGGAAATATATGAAATATTCAAAACAAAAATCACGGAAAACACTTCAAAAAGAAAGTTATACTGAAACAAATTTTACTAGTAGTGAACGCAAATTATGCTAACGATCACAAAACGAACGCAACGGAAACAAAAGTCGTCAAAGAGCAATCGCTTTAGAGTATACTTCAAATGAGCGTCAATTTGAAATTTGCTTAGAAGCATTACGAATTCTTCAAAAATTTTATAAGACGTGAGATTGTTGCAAAAGTTAATGAGTCGAGAAATAGTGAGTTTAGATTTATGAGCGAACAAATGATTAGTTTTGAGTGCAACTTTGGATGAACGAATGTTTTCAGATTGTGAATCGATGATCGATGAGTGCCGGAGCCAATAAATCAATCAATCTTTATCGTCAGATTTTACGTCTTGCTCGAAATTGGAAAGCTTTGAATCCTGAACATACCGCTGCCGAAAGAGAAGCAATCCGGAAAGAAGCACGAGAGCAGTTCCGAGCTCACGCTAAGGTTTCTCTCCTAGAACTTTTGGATTTCTCTAGCAAGGAATCTTATTTCTTCAACTGTTACTTTTTGCCTTTCCTTGAAACCTAGGGTTCTCGACTCAAAAAGAATTTCTAGGAAACTGATCCGAAAACGATAGCGGATCTTCATCGTGAGGCCGAAGCAAGGATCGTATCGGCTGAGCACTACGGAATCCCCTATAAGAGGCCAGAATACTTACCTCCAAACACGTCATATGGTAGAGTACATTCATCTATCATTTTTGTTTCTATCGATTCACTGCTCCATTATGGTGAATTGTTTTCGTTTTATGAATATTCTCTCCAGTTTATTCAATACCGATTCGAAATATTGCCGTGTAACTCATTTTATGTCGTTCGATGACTGCCGAAAACCCCGTTTTCCAGTAATAAGTTCGATTAAACTCGGTATTTATTGAAAGAAAATTTATGTAATACTTTCGATTGCAGATGTTAAACTCAAAAGAGGACAGTTTAGAAGGAGAAATATACCGAAACCTAAATTTAAATGAATTCCCTTACGCCCTGAATTCGTTCGATCAATCACCACTCTCGTTCACTGCTGTAAGACTTCTTCGTTCAATTGTTCATTCGTTAGATTTAGTTTTTGATGATGGAAATTAGATGGAAAAATTATTTCTTGGATTCAAAATTACGTGGTGAAGGTTTTAGTCGATTGTATTCAAATTTCAGCGAAATATTCTGTTCAAATCCAAAGTCCCATTTTCTGGCGACTCATTGAATTTCTCATCGCTTTACGATTCATTTTTATCATTTGTTTTCAGGAAGTCAACAATTTCGTTCGTCAATATTTTGCGTGTGTTTCTATAAGTAAAGATTCATTGGCCGAAGTGATTCGATACTGCGAAGATGCTTTAGAAGGGAAACGTCTCATTCAAAATGTTTTAGCTTCCGAAATTTGGATTCGTTTTCCAGAGAAACGAAATTCTCATTCGAAAATTTTAAAAGAGTTGGTTTCATCGGTATGTATAATCGTGGAATTTCACTCAGATTCCACAAAATTCCTGTTATTCTTTTCATTTTACTTGTCAATTGTGCACGAGTAGATTGCATTGGAATTCATTGAGTGAGTAGTGTTTCAAAGAAAGTGTGGTCTCCAGAATACAAAGCCAGACTGAAGATATTCATGAAATTCCCAGTACGATTGCAAACTGATGTGATTGATTGTATTATGAGGTGATTTGTTGTATTGTCAGGTAGAATCTGCTTCACTGATGTCGTCGGAGGTTTGCGATGGCTTATATGAAGCAGTCACTCGTTCAATGGACACCTCAGCGGATTACGGTCATCGTTTGTATTTGAGTGGATCTGGGAAACGTTTCATTGTCTTGAAAGAGAAAAATGAACAACTGTCACTTGGTACCACAGGTCTATCGTGCTGGCAGGTCGGTGGACCACTCCATCAAATCATTTTGCATTTGCAGGCGTTACCACACTTGCACTCTTCTGTCGGTCCTTGTCATCAGTGCTATTGTACACCATTACCATAATCATAAGCTAATGCTTGAAGCGAGCGAGGTGGTACAGAAAGCGATTTTTTCTCAGAAATTGGTTGAATCCTCGTCCAGATCCTTATCAAAAGATGACACTTTCTTACCGCCATTATTTTTCGTAAAATGCATAAAAACTGTGATTCGTATTCATTTCAGCAATACGTTCAGAATGAAATGTTCCTAAAGGTCTAGTATTTAAAGGCTTCGTGCGATTTGGCACACTACTTACTGGGTGTTGGTTCGAGTTATTTGCAAGGTCGTAATGTTTTGGAGTTGGGTGCAGGCTGTGGATTTTGTGGTATTGCTTTGGCGGCCTCGGCTATGCCACGAAGTGTCACACTAACGGATTGTAATGCACATGTGCTTACACTTCTTCGACAAAACGTCGAAAATAATTTCTCTGAGGTCACTCATTTGATTCCTTCAGTTTCTTGTTCTATACTCTGTTCGTCCTAAAATGAATAACTCAAAAATTTTATTGTGGATATGAGCAATGAGAAATTTGTGCGGGAAATTTTCGTGCTTCTTGTATCGTTCCCATTTGTCAATTTTATTCTTGCAGGAATCAAAGCAGCAAGTGAAAATAAATGTTTGTCATTTTGATTGGACATCAAGTAAAGCGAGCGATCTGCCCACGAGACCAGATCTTATCGTTGCATCAGGCAAGGTTCTTCTGATCCTTTGAAACTTATTTTTATGATCAATTGAAAAAGAATAACTTCGTTCGCCTATAATTTAAATTTCTCATCCATGAGGTGAACTGCTTTAGTGATAGGCTCGTCAACGGTTTCCTACAATACCGATTCATTTTCAGATGTTGTATACGACAGTGCTGTTTTGGCGGATTTAGCAAAACAAATTGCGAATTTAATTGAATTTGGTGGTGGAGGTGACAACGTGAGATGCTTGATAGCGGGTACGGTACGCAATAGAGACACACTGCAGACGTTTCTAGAGGCTATTGGTAGGTTTTTAGAGGTCATTCGTGTGGATTCATTGAATTGAGGTGGAAATGATTGCATGTAATCACATTCGGTGGACTTGTTGTAGGGAACAAATTTTGAGCAGTATGCTTTTCCGTTTTTAAAATGAGAAGATTGTGTGTCCTCGTTCAGAATTTTGGAATTGCAGAATCGAATGGTCTGAAGGTGGATGAGAAATTCATCTTTTCAAATGGCGCATTCAGATTCAACGATGGTCGTCGTATCATTGAACCATCATTGTTTCCATTTGTTTCCACAATTAATTGTCCAACAACTTTTCACTGGATTTCTTCAAAATAATTTATTTGTTTTTTTTTTGTGTGGTTGATTCGAATTTTGTTGAAACAATTCGTTTTTTCTGCGCTTCAAATATTCTGTGGCCATATTCGGTGCCTTTTGAAAGTGTTAGTTGTTTTATTTTGATAATTGATTCTAGTGTTCATATTGTACAATAGTTTGGGTAATATTTTGTGTTTTTATTGTACTGCATTTGATGGTTTTCAGTTACAATAAAACTATGTAAATTTTCATTTCGATGACATTTTTTACAATCACGCAATTATTTTAAACGAAATAATATTGGAAGGAGTAATGCGAACGGATGATTGCATTAATATAAATTGTGAGTATGATGCTAGGATATTGTGAAGAGCGATTTTGTTGAGACATAAGGCTGGAAAAGCGAACTGATTATCCAAATTTCTAGTTGAAGCAACTCGATGAGATGCATCACCTTCATAACGAATAAAAAGCACTCGTTGAAGTAGAAGTAGAGATGCAGCGGTCATGCCTCGGTTGACTTCATTCACTGATTCAGTGGCTCGTTGCAAATAGCTTCGTTGGCTTTATGAGTATGTGTGTGCTTTCAATCGATAGCTTAGAGTAAGCATTTTGCATGATGCTTCCATGTGCTTTAGCTTCTCTTCCAAATCCCTTTACTCTTGCATATGCGGCATTTATGCTCGTAAGCATCACCCAAACTGCTTTGTTTAAGTGTGTCATCAGCTGTCACATTAACTGAAATCAACGCGTTTCGCTGAAATTCTTACCGAAAGCCTCAATTATTGCCGACGTTTTTGTTCTATTGAAAGTAATTTCTGATCATTTGATCATCAATTTTGCGAAATTTTCACTTTTGTGTTGCTGTTCCTGGATGCACAACGAAGTATTGTATAATAGCTCTAGCAGATTTCCCATTCAAACATTAGATAATTTTCACTTTCAACGTTTTACTTTGTTTTTGAATTCGTTTGCTTTAGTTCAATTAGAGGGCGAAGTTTGTTTCCATTTGAAGAAAAGAACTTCCGTTATTTTTTCACGTCAGTTTCGTTATTTGGCAAAGGCAAAACGTGGAAAGCGAAAAAGGTTGACTTCAATCAGCGAAAAATTACGTCAAACATTGAGTATCTTGATAATAGCATTGACAAATGATCGATGACTAAAGGTTGATCCGTTCAGGGAGGTGATGTCACGTCGTACGAATCCGTTGCTGGCGATTATTCAGAAGAAGACTCTGAATGAATTCTCGAGAAAAGAACTCGAGGAGGCATTCATCATATGCGATGTGCGTGGTACGGGTTTTGTGCACATACGGAACTTGAAGGTGATAACTGGCACTGTTTCCTTTACGATTCTCAACGTTTGATTCAATTGTTCGGTGGATAATTTTTGTTGGGGACAATCGGAGTCAATCATTTCTTGATAGTAACACACTCCTGATAGGAACTAAATGTTTCATTTTGGATCGAGATGCAATCGTCTGAACGTAATAAGGAAATAGGATCAACCAACCATATTGTTGTACGATATTACGAGAGAGTAGCTGATTTAATTTAATGATTACAAATATTCACGTAATGCAAAAAATCGTTGACATATAAAAATAATCATTGATAGTTTATGACTGAGTGGATACCATAAGAATTTGTACGGTGGATGTGGTAAATACTGTTAGATGCATCTCACGAGGAAATAGAAGCGACTGAAGAGGCTAAAAAAAATCAGTTAATAAAGTCACTGGCATATGCGAGATCACTTTGAATTGTTCACATGGTGCTTTGTTAAAGGTTGTGATGCGTGCTCTTGGCTTCGAACCGCGAAACGATGAAATTCAACGACTAACATCAAAAATGATGGAAAATAAGTTGTTGCGGAATGCACATCCAGGTTGCTCACTTTATGCACACGTATGTACGTTGAAATCCTCCCTAGTCCTTCCACAACATACAAGAAATGAAATGTTATCTCGTAGCCTCTCGAATACTATCTCTCACGCCTGCTTGGGAAGCAGCGCTATTGTGATAGAATGAGGGATCAAAATTAAACACTGAAAAGCTCTTGCAGATTCATTTGATGTGAATGAATTGAGTGAGTTGTTAGCCGAGAAACTGGATCAGCGAAACGGTGCGAGTGAAATGCATGCTGCATTCCAGCTGTTCGACAGTGACTCAAAAGGATACATATCGGCTGCGGATCTTCGCAAGGTTGCCAATGAACTGCACGAAAACGTTGACGATGAACAGTTGATGGTTGGTTCTGTTAACATTCGAATAGTATAGCAAAAAAGCCTTCACTGATAGCACGGATGATAATTTCCAGCAGTAGTTTGAAATTTTAATATTGAAGATGTGTGTCATGCGCTTCTACTTATCATAAATTCGTGTATGTTATTATTCAGTGATTTCAGGAAATGATCAACGAGGCAGATTCTTGTCGTAGCGGACGTGTTTCAGAAGCTGATTTCTGTACGATTATGGAAAAAACGAGTCTTTATTAACATACCATAAATACGTTTCATTCGATTGAATGTAATAAATTATTCGATTACCCAGTCTCATTGACATTCTTGAAATGAATTTGATCATATCCGTTATCAGCTACATAAAATCTGTTACGATGCTCATCGTTGGCCGGATTTGCGACAGCTAGATACGGGAAAATGAATATGAGGAATATGTATTACCGCATCGGAAAAAAATTTTGTCAATAGTGGTACTCAAAAGTTTCATTAGATAAAAGCAAGAGGAATATGGTTTGACTAGGCTTTACTACTGAGCAGCTCATAGCTTTTGGAAACCTTTGATGAGAATCTTGTTCATTTGTTTGTGTCTAATGCATTCACAAAAATCGATTACAAAGGAAAGGTTGACGATTTAGATGATATCAGACAATTGGTCAAGTGGTACATCAGTGCAAAGAGCTGAAAATACCGCTTCAAGAGTAACAGAGAGTAAGTCGAGTTCTGTCCTCACAAATTTTGCAATTCATTCATATCACATCCGGACGAGAAGGTCACTTCTTATTTTCGACAAATCACCGCGATATAATCATTTACAAACATCATTCAAGTGCCACTCATGAACACTGCGAAAGCATCTCGTAATTTTATGCGGTACTTTGTTTGATACTGTGAAACTGCAGTTACATCAATGTGATCTGCAATCCAATGATCGAGACTTATAATATCATATCATTCAGCAGTTTATATATGCACACAGGTCGCATGATCTGATGCGAATTGCCATGAATAAATTTAAGAATTACACTCATTTCGTATCATTCGTATAACAACGAATATGATGATTTTTAATGAGTTGACTTGTGATCAGGTGCTGCTTACAAAGCTCATCGATGTATCGCTGACGTCTCAAACGGATCAACTCTTTTTCTTCGTTAAGTAACTTGTTCTCGACCATTAGCTGAATTAAATTGCTGACTTTCAATGACAAGAAAATGGAATGGAATTCAAAGGTGAATTTCATGCGTTGATCACAATCTGTGAAAAGCGATCAGTCGGCTATACGATGCCCGTCCATATCAATCAATCTATCGTCTATTCAGCAAAGATGAGCATTCGGAATTATTCACAGAAACTTAATATATTCTAGAGTAAGATTCGTGTTGGAAACGGAGAAGTGCAAACAGTCACAAACCATTTCAATGAACTTTTCATATTCCTCATGGTTGGGTCGGAAGGATCCATTTCGCGGATTTGGATCAGCAATAGAATTGTCCTGTGTTACCTCCTGAAATATGAGCAATTTTACGGCACTTATTTGATCAGAAACCATTCTGACGTAGATGAAACAAGTAAATTCAACCATTCACAAGTTGCATTTTTAATCCAACTCTGCAAGCATCTACGATGTGTAAAGTGGAAGCATTTTTTCCATAAATAATTTCTCCTAATCTATTCCTACTATTCGTTCCTAATAAAATTTGCTTCCAAAAATATTGCACCGGTTAAAATTCATTCCAATGATAGGACATTGAAAAAAAAACATCTCTGGTGGTTGATGTAAAAACGAAACGTTCATTCAACGGAATATTCGTGTTCAGTTAACCTTCGGATGCCTTAATTCGAGATTATTTGAGGTTGACGAAATAACATTCCGGGAGGGCGATGGTGTGGGATGATGGGTTGTGGTTGGTGTTGCTTTCGATGAACGAGATGAACTTGTCACAAATTTCATCATCTTTTCAGACTTATTTATGTAGGGCACGAGCGCTTATTCAGTTGTTTACATGGCGCACTGCATCAGATTCGAGCATACGGCTGTCATAGTAACGCTCTCATGCATGCTTATAGCCACCTGTTTCCATCACCTCCTATTACCAACTCAGTCATAATCGGAAAAATATTTTTCAGCTATTATTAGGACTGACATATCCATCTGAAAGTGATCTACGTTGAGACCGAAAGACTGGTTTCGAACTGAAAACAAATCGAAATTTTTCAAAGGTATCCAGTGCTAATATGACTGACTCTAATCCTAAATCACGAATGATCTTTGCATAATAAATCACTTTCGTAGTTTCTCTCAAACTCGGATTCAATAGCGTAATGTAGTTCTGTTGAAAAATGATTTTATTTTATCATTATTGTGATAAAATTTTGTATTTGCTTAATGAAATAATAAATTAGATGCCATGAATGGACCAAATGAGAGCATTTTGTGTTTACACGCATTCGTCTTTATCAGTATCACTGTGACTCATAAATTCTCTTCAACAATCCCAAATTCGAGCATGATGAAAATTGAATGTGATATCAAAAGCTGAATGACGGCAGTAGCGAATGTCAAAGCTGATAACAGATAGCCAACAATAAAAACAGCTGATAAGACATATGAAAGGTTAACAACACTGTTATTACATCTGCTAGACATCACACACGTTTAAAACAACACTTCGTTTCATATCAGGACCTGGAATGGGTATGCTGAGATGGAGTTCTTGTGATGGATGATATTTTCGGTCTACAAACTTTATTAGTGATGGTATTTGAAAAGAATCGTCGGCATGAAGGAAGATTTCTGTCTTGTGACGAAACTGCTTCAAACACGAGAGATGATGTACCCTGAGAAGCAATCCTACGTCCTTTCTTAGCCATTACTGCACAGTTTAATCAGCGATCACTCATTGGAATGAGCAGTCAAAAGCAAAGAATTTCACGCTTGAGAATAATCGACTACTGCTTCTCAAATGAAATAAAATCAAATCAGAATTAAACTAGCACTAAATAACTCATGATATGAAAGATAAACAACTGAATCAGTTCGATTATCAGAGCGGTATTGAAGATATTGAGGATCAATCTTCCAGCAGTGTTTACAGTCAAACAATACGGGCTAGAATGGATATTACAGTTCAAAAAATAAATCGCACACATCGTCTGAAATACTTTCAACTTACACTTCAGAACAGAGTTGGGAACCGGAGGATTTTTGAAAGTCAGCATCGATTGCCGATGAAGCGAGTGTTCAGCATTGATCGGTTTCGATCAATGGCCATTGAAGTTCACAATCTTATCAGTTGATATCAAATACAAAAACTAACAATGAAGTGCCTTTCATAGTCTACACTAAGCATTATGTGGTTTGCAAACAAGTCTTGTAGATTGCTCCTCAAAGATTTTTTAAGCTATATCAAAGTATTAAGGAAAAAATTATCAACGTTTGACCATAATCTCACGTTATACGTTTATGTCACAACAATCAATCTAGCACCATAAAAGACAGCCACAAATTTGACAACAGTATTTTGCACATTAAACGTTTTTCAGAATGCGTGCTCATCTCCAGTTATTGGGCTTGTTCGCTCTTTCACTTGGACTTTCAGGTAAGCAGTCTCACATCATTATGACGAGTTTGACTCTTTCATGATCATTGCTTTCGTTAAAAACGTCACAGAATGCGTTGCGGTTATATTATAGCATAGCAAAAACTTATCAAACTGCACAAAATTCTCACTGCAAGATCAATTCGGCTAATAGAAGGGTATTGTTCCGTTCGTCAGAGTTATCGTTATCCTCAAAAATGTCACAGTGATCTGTAGAACTTCATTTCAATCAAACGTAATTTGCAGTCACATTTGGTGCCGAGCGGCAATGCGCTTGTGATTACAAGAAAACATGGCTAGACATTGTGTTCATATATGATTCATCAAAGAAAATGAATGTAACAGTTTTTGAAGAAGTAAGTTCGACTTAAAAACCTACTTCCATTCAACATAAAAACTTGTGGAACGTTTTCAATGGGGAATGGTAAATGTTCGAATGTAGCAATAGGAGCTTCCATTCCAATGATAGCCAGTTATCTTCAGCATTCAGCAATATGCTTGACTGACATTGATTGACTTCACTTGAATTATGTTGATTCTGTCTATCATGGACTGGAAAAAACATGAGTTTTTTATTTACAAGGCATCCATAGTGAAAAAATTCTATACGCAGCATCATCGATAAGGTGAAGGTAAGATTATCAACGTATCAATTCAGGTACGGAATTTCACCGCAGCGGTGGCTAGAGAAATCCTAATCAGCCAAGAGGATGGTGCTTATTCCAGAATTGGTGTCATCAATGGTGGTGAGGAGGTGAGTTTGGAGCTTTGTTGGATTGATCGCCATATTCAAACATTCAAAACACTTTTTTGCTCCACAGCAAATTGATTTCGTAACAGAAAATGTTTTTATACACACACCCTGCACTTGGGAACATCTGATGGATCTTTGTATCAAAAATTAAAAAATTCCAATGGATAAAGTTTTACTGCCCTTCACAAAAACAAATTTTCAGGCAGAGGTTGTTGCCGATCTCACAAAATACTCCAGTAGCGAAGAAGCAGCTAATGAAATCCATAAAATCACATACATGAACGCCAACAATTTCAACCTTAGGAAGTATGTCTCAATCGTTTCTAAGACTAATCGATTTTACCGATATCACTAGTAATGATCCAGAAAGTGTAATAATTCATTTAGTAATTGAACAAACTCAATGCAGAATTATTCAAGCTGTCTACACGATAAATTCAGATCCATGCTGGCAGCACGGAATATGGTAGAAGAGGCGTACAAACAGAGACCGAATGTCAAGAAACTCGTCATCGTATTCTCGGGTAAATCGGAAGACTGCGTATACCAAGGGTAAGTACTTATTATATTCGGGGCAGTTGCATTATATCAGCAAGCATAAAAACAACGATCTAATTTGTACGGTGATAAAACCTGTGTCCATATCACGTTTTGATGGAAGAGTTTCAATAATTGCAGCAAGTTCCAAATGAAGATGGTGAAACCCGAAGAAGACCAGAACCCATGTCGTATCGCGTCGCACATAAAGGAGAATGGAGGCGTCGTCATGACTGTTGGACTGAAATACGATGGTAAAGACACATTCCCACATATGAAATTCGGAAGTGAATGCTACAGA